CCTAAACCCTAAACCCTGAACCCCAAACCCTCAACAGCACAGCGTGAGAGCCTCGCAGGTCGAACACCTTCACCTCGCAGTTCTCCCGGGAGAAGCCCTGCATGGGGTACTTGGAGGTTCTTGGGTAGCTATCGGTGACCCATGGAAAAATAATACATGCTTTTTGGGATACGTATACCTAACAGGGAACCCAGAACCCAACAAAAAAGAAACAAATGTACACTACTCAGCAGCCTAGAAGCAGGGCTATAAGTACCATAAGTAGGGTCATAAGTATATTATTACCATACTTATAACCCTAGCTATAACTACCCATGAACCTCCAAGTAGTTCTCAAGCCTTGGGGCAGAAGTCCGCCTCAAGCTTCGTATGCCCACCTCCGACTTGCTAACCCTGGAACTTCTTGAGGATTTGGGTTTAGGGTGTGGGGTTTCGGGTTTATGAAGGGGTTTACGAAAATAAGGGAATCCGCCGCGGCTGTAGGGATACCTGACTGAAACCCCGAGCCCAGCACTCTTCAGTGTGGCTTGTAGTCAGACCAGAATCCTGAAACCCTATAAGCCTAACATGCTGACCTTAAACCCTAAACCCGAAACCCCAAACCCTAAACCCTTGTGTTGAAAAAGGCTGGAACCTTTCGGCCCCTCGTTGCAAGGCGCCTCTCGAGTCATGGGGTTCAGTGTTTCTCGTCTTCCTCAAATACAGGGGTTTAGGCTTTAGGGTTAGGGTTTAGGGTTTAGGGTTTAGGCTTTAGTAATAGGGTTTAGGGTTCAGGGTTTGCGTTACGAGGGTTGAGGGTCTTTAGGGTTTGTGTTAAGAGGGTCGAGGGTCCAGGGTTCCAGGGCGTAGGAAATGCAGTGGACATACGGGATGATCACGAAGCTTTAGGTTTGGGGGTGCAGTCAAAAGACGTCGACAACAGTTCGGCACGACATGTTCTCCAATGATCTCGTGCAATGCAACAGGCCTTCGATCCGCAGGCCACATAATTCCCGTCCTGGTCTTGGTGTTTAAGCTGGCTGAGAATTTAGGATTCTCTACATGAGGTCCTTTTGGGGTCCTACATACGCGGGTTTCCGACATTAGGGATACCTTATTTGGGTCCTTCTCATAAGGGAATCCTACTATGTGGGGATCTATATTGGGGGTACCCTATTTTCGTAAACCCCCATATATCTAGAGAGCAGGGGAGAGAGCACCCTTATAGTAAGGACCCACAATGGGACCCTAATTTAGAGAACTACCCATTTTGGTGGTCTAGAGGCAGAGGTCCAGACCTCTACACGGCTTTTTCTATGAGAGGCATGGCCGCGCTACACTAAATTAACATTCGTTTAGGGTTTAGGGTTTAGGGTTTAGGGTTTAGGGTTTGGGGTTTAGGGTTTAGGGCTTAGGGCTTAGGGTTTAGGGTTTAGGGTTTTGGTTTAGGGTTTAGTTAGGGTTTTAGGGTTTGTAGGGATTACGATGGACCCCGAGATGACGACAACTCTATCGGCTGCCTTGCATTGGGCTTCAGCAACCAAAAACCGAAGCCCTAATCGTCAGACACCTGCCCATAGCTCAGAAACCCAAAGCCCCATCAGCATAGGGGCGCCAGGGTTTGGGGCTGGGATCGAGGATGTTGCCGATACCAAAGAAGGTGACGCTGATCTCTGAACCCTAAGCCCTAAGCCCCAAGCCCTCAACCCTAAACCCCTACATCCCAAGCCCTAAGCCTACCTCTGGCACCGCTCATTGTTGCCCCCCAGCGGTCCGGCGACACATCCAAACAAATGAGCTGGTTTGGGCCGGCGCGGACCTCAGACAAGACTGTACAATGCTATTTTTGTCTGTCTTAGGGGCCCCCATTGTGGTTCCTTTTTGGGGTGGTGATATAGGGGCCTGAACAATTAGAATAGGGTTTTGGGGAGTTATTATAGTACACTTATGAATGGACCCTAAGGGAATACTATAAGCAATTATTCCGACCCCTGCAGTACCTAAGTTCATGGTGGTCTGGGGTTCGTAGGGTAAAATAAGGTAGTTGTCTGCCAAACCGGAACTAGAACTGAAAGGCCGAGGCTTGGCTTACAAAAGGACAAGCCCTCCAAGTCCAAACAGCTCCCCTAGGGGTCCATGTACCTCCTTATTATATACTTGGGCCCTAAAGTCCCTGTATAGGAGGTACTTTAAGGCCCAATTGTATAACAATTATGTACATGGACCCTGAGGGCTCAGGACGCAGCAGCTGCTGCTGGCCCTTTCAGAAGACCCTGGCGCGTGTCCCACAGCCGCAGCTGTAGATCCTTCGACGCAGGGCAGGAATTATCGCTCGGATTCTGGACGTATGCAAGGGCTGCTGGACAGGGTCAGCAAGCAGGGGAATTTGACTGCACGGTTCTTCATGTTGTTTTGGAAGGAACTTCGGGAAGGTATGCTAGCTAGGCTACTGAGAATCAATGCTGACTCCTGTGCCAGCAGCTAAAAACACGATTCTGCAAATGTACCATCATGTTGTTGAAGGCAACTCTGGGTCTAAAGAACCCCTATAATGACACAACCCTAAACCCTAAACCCGAAACCCTAAACCCTAAAACCCCTAAACCCTAAACCCCCAACCCTAAACCCTAAACCTTAAACCCTGCGCCTCGGAGGCTTGAACTGCGGCTCCCGCCGCAGCGCCGGGTTGCGGCACGCGGCGGATGGCCGTGACCTGGGAAGGCCGGCCTAACGCCTAGGCTTAGAGCCTTGTCCAGCGCGAATGTGTACAAAATTATATGCATATGTACATACATACATACATACATACATACATACATACATACATACATACATACATACATACATACATACATATATGTGTATATATATATACATTAGTATATATACTATATATATAATATATATATATATATATGCTATATATATACACTATATATACTATATATATATATACTATATATATATACTATATATATATACTATATATATATACTATATATATATATACTATATATATATACTATATTATGTATGTATATATATATATGTGTATATATATATATATATGAGGTACCCCCCCCCCCCCCCCCCCCCCCCCGTAAGATGGACACTTAAAGGCTATGCTGCACGCGCGTGCCTTGTAATTTACAAAGGAAACACCCGTAGAATAGACGCAACGCACCCGCAGAATAGACGCAGTGCACTTAGATGGGCCCTGTGTTTAGTAATGACTTAACATGGTTAACAGAGTTACTAAAGGGTTACTAGCATGTTTAGCTGGTTTAACTGAACAGTTTAGTAAACAGTTAGTATGTCACTAACTAATCACTTAACTAGTGATTTAGCTAAGGGTTTAACTCAATTAGTAAGTGCCTGAAACCGTTATAATGCAAGCAGCAAATGTAGAGTCAAAAGTGGAGCAGCAACTCTAGAAAAGTGGTGAGACAGGCATGCAACATGGCCAATTGGCCAATCGATGTTTTGAAACACAGCAGGCGAAACAAAAAATGCGGCCAGCTTCACAGAAAAAAAACAAGCCTCCAAAGGCTTTTAAAGCAGTTTACATCAACTGCTTGAAAGCTCATGTGTGCCTACAAACCTGGTCAACACCAAGGCAAAACATGTCATGTTCCTACTTGTTTCAGCCAGCAACCCACTGGAATTGACCAGTGCCGATTCTTGTTCGCAAAACCCACACACTTGCAATGCATGCTTGTGCTTTTATTCACCTCCATCTCCAAGGGATGAGGGTAGTAAACTTTGCACCGTCTTGGGCATAGGTGACACTGGTGAAAATATTTTCCAAATCCACAGCAACCTCTGCAGGCCCATGTGTCCAAACAGCATAAGAGCCATGGTCTTCCAGCAAAGCAAAAAGCTCCAGCACTGTCCTGCATTGTACACCACATTGCAAATGTTTTTTGACTTTGCCACATGCCCATTTGTGACCTGCATGGCAAAACAAAGCCACATCACCAGCAGCGACTGTGCCATCCTGGCACCTTGCAGAGGAAGCCGCCAGCACAGAAGCCCATGGTGCAGGCCAGACCATGCTGGAAAGCTGCGTGTCTTTGGCTCCAGCATTTTTTGGCTGTAGCAACTTGATCCCAGCATCCAAATTGTCTGTTTCAGCCAAAGCCTGCAGCTCACCATTTACAATTTCTTCCATGGCAGAGGATTCAAAGGAAGTGGTGTTCTGCAGCAGGGAGGTCTTTCTGTTTATCATCTTGCGCTTTCTCTCCATGGTAAAACGCCCTATGAGGTGTCCATGGTCTTCGAAGCTTTGGTGAAAATGGAGAAGCCAATGGTTTTTCTTCCTAAATGGCCAGCCTGCAGTTTTCCATTTCTCCAAGGCATCCTCCACCAACACAAAGACCATGTGACCTGTCACTTTGCCACTGTAGCCAGCATGCAGGACCTCCAGCAAAGCACACATGGCCAGGAAAGCTTGTGTGGAAGGGGCTTGCAAGGCAGCAGTGTGCACCTTTTTCAGAAAGTGCACCAGCACAGGCAACACAGACAAAAGTTTTCATGCTGTGCCTTTTGCTTTCAAACAAGCTGCTGATGGGCGCAGAAGCAAATTGCTTGGGCAGGTTCCAAAATGTGGCATAACCAGCAAAGGTGGACCAGCAATCCAGCTCCTGCATCAGGAAGAAAGTTGCATATGACAACAAGCCATTGGAAAGCAGAGCATGCATGTAATCATGCATCCACTGCCTAGCTGGAACCAGCATGGATCTCAGCTCATCACATGCCAGCAAAGCTTCAGGCGAATATGTGACGCCAGTGGCTTGCTGCCATTTCTTCCACTCAGCAGATGTGCAATTGCCAAATCTGGCTGCCATCCTGTCCCAGCTAGCCAGCATTTCTTCTGAAGAATGCTGGGCCAGCTGTGCATGCCTGGTGAAATGACATGCTTGGCTCACAGCTTCATCATCTTCTCCAGCAGTGTGACTGAAGCAATTCGAACACAGGCAGCAGAATCTGGATCCTGAGTCGCCCTTCACAGACCAAGTCATCTTTTGTGCTTGTCCATCTTGTATAAAAAGTTGCAAGGACAATGTCATTCTCCTGTTAGGTTGACCAGCATGTTCTGGTGGAGGCTGTAGTTGAATGCCAAAGTCCTGCACTTCAACCCAAGGGTTCTGGAATATGAGGGACAATATTTTTTCATAATCTGGGACATGCCAGCCTCGATACCTGCCACTATGGAGCTCCTGAGAACACAAAGAGTTATCCAAGAGTTCTCATTCCCCAGCAAAAGCCTTCAAAGGCTCGAATTCAGCATGGGCAACATTTTCTTCAGCACATTGCAAAGTGACATTGCGGAAAAACTGTAAAACAAAACTCTTTCTTTTTCAGCTTGTGCCAGCAATCAGTTTCTTCAATGCTTCTGTCCAGGGTGAAACATGCTGAGGACAATAGGTCCAATGTTTGCATAAGCCAGCATCTCCAGCCTCCTTTTGGTCATCCTCAGGAATGCAGAGTTTTCCGGCTGAGTACATGTTTTGCATGAAGCTGCATTGCTCAGGAAATCCGAACCAACCAAAAAAGAACAGACTCATGTCTAAGTACAAGAATGCAGACAAGGCACCAAAACTCCCAGCCTCAGCTATATAATATGTATGTTTTGACACATTTGTTCTTGATGCATTTCCACATAATACCATATGTAAATATCTCGTGTCTTTTCGAATCCAACATATATATTTTATTCATACCAATTAAATTGTGTACAATTATACAACTGCAAATGAATTTAAATCCAAGCAACCATTGTGGTATCGACACACTCGATAAACCACCCCATCCAGCTCAGTCCACTTGCTCTGCTTGACATAGGGGTTGAAATCTTCTCGAGGAATCCTTAGGTTTTTTTAAATTTTTTTATAAACAGCCCAGTGGCTCATCCACCCAGCCACTTTCCCAGTGGATGTCCACACTCCAGTCATCTTTCACTGCCTTCTCGATTTTGTCCCAGCATTCAAGTCTGGACATTTTTTGCCCAGCAAAACAACCTGCACTCCACCACCTTGTTCCAGCCAGCTGCTGCAGCATGCATTGGCATGCGTGTATTCACATAAGAAATTAAGCGGTTAAAGACATGTACAATGAATTATAAATACAATGATTTAAGACTTCAGATATACATGTGCATGTAGGTATATAAATATATACTGCATGTATGTGTGTAGGACATTCACTATATATGTATTATATGCTGAAACATAAGAACATTTTCCACAATTACAAAGCAATAAGTACACATGTACTGAAGTATGTGTAGACATGCATGCATGTACAGAAGTGCATGTGTACTTGCTGGACTCTGTAAGCATGAAGAATGTACATGTAAGTGGGTACAAGTAAATTAATAAGTACGAAATGATGTGGCATGTTACTTGTGCATGAATGTGTTGTCTACACACATCCATGTGTGGGGCCCACCCAAAAAAATTTCTGTTTTCTGGTACAAAATAAAGAAGAAATGTAGACATCGTGTCAAGAAAAATTATGATGAGCAGCTGGAATAAGTTGATGTTATGCATTTATCGTCAGGAAATCTCTGGCTGAAAACTTTTGTAAAAAACATCAGATTTTGATTGGTGCGCTTAAAAATGCTTTCAAATGTTGTTGAATGATTTCTGATTTCCGGTTTTTTGTAACCATTTTTTGACGTCAGAATTCTGAAATCATAATGTGGGTCCAAAAATTTGATTTCAGAATTATGAAATCAAATTTTGGGTTAAAACATTTGATTTCAGATCCATGAAATCAAATCTCGGGTTGATCCATTTGATTTCATGCTCATGAATTCAAATTGTTCGTTACAAGATTTGATTTCATAAATCTGAAATCAAAAAAATCATTGAAAAATTTGATTTCATATTCATGAAATCAAATGTTGTTGTCAAAATTTTTGATTTCAGATTCATGAAATCGAAAAAACAAGAAAAACCCAAACTCAACCTAAAAATTTAAAAAATCACAAATTTGGCTGCATTTTTTCAGTACAAATACAAAGCCCAGTGGCAGGGGAGGAGGGTCGAAGTTTCAAGTACTTCAGGTCATCTGCTTCTACCACCAAATCATCTGGTATCACAACTCCTGGCCCTCCAGCATAAGAACATGTCACTTTGGTTCTGATGTGCACCGCCATGCCAGCTGCAGGGAGCTTTCACCTACCAGCAGACCTTGCTGCCGCGGGGACTTGGTGGCTCTCTACAAACACATTATATACTGTTTTTTTTGCTGCTGCTGTTGCTTTCTTTGGTCCTGTACTATGCAGCGCAGCGCAGTGCATGCATGTCATGCATTGTGTTCCTGTAGCCTGCTCTTTTCTTTTAGCTTGAACATGCAATTCCATGGGAGCCATATAGATTTCGGTCATGTCTTCTGCCAGCCTGCAAAGGCTATAGACATAAAATCAAAGCCAAAAAAAACACAAACAATGCAACACTGTTCTTGTCTACTCTCCTTGTCAAGTTCTCCTGCCAGTATGGCCCTATATACATCTGCCTTCAGTCAGCCTCGAGCTGGACTGGTCCAAAAAGCATCCAGCATGCAAATCAGCTGGTCTTGGCTTTCTTTGCTTTTGGGCCAGCACTGCCTTTGTCAGCCTGCACTTTGAAGTAAGTGAACTGCTGCCCACTTGCCAGCTGCTTCTTTGGCTTGAAGCATGGGATCTCCAGCATGTTGTGGTTGGTGTGACACAACTCCATGCTGGCTTCCTCTGGAGTTTCCACTGGAGTCACCCAAAAAAACAGTGGAATGGCGCCACTTGCTTTGGCCAGCTCAAACTTGGATGCCTGCACTTGGTATTTCTCCCCTTCTTGTAGGTCACCACCACCTTGGACCCAGCAAGGTTCTTCTTACCATCATCATCTTTCAGCAAGGAAACCATGCCAAATGGGTAGATCTGGATGCTTCCTTTCAAAATCTTGGCACCAGCAAAAATCTTGCATTCATTGGTCAGCACCAGCTTCGAGAAATCCACCATGCTGTTCCTGCCAAATATATAACACGAGCGCTGTGTATCAGGCTGTGCTTCATACGTTAGGAACATGTGAGATAAAGTACCTTATAACCCCTCAACCCTAAACCCCAAAACCCCAAACCCTATAACCCTAAATTCCCTAAACCCGAAATTATGGCAACTAGAATGCAACCCAAATGCTCATTGTGGTTCTCCAGCAAGCAAGCTTGAACTTGAGCTTTCTCCAACTCCAGCTGCCATTGCAAGCACTTCTCAGGCTGCAGTTTCGACACCACCTCCTGGTCCAGCATGCTAGCAGGCTTCTTGTCAGTGGCTCTGAAGCGAAACAAATCAGCATGCTGCACCAGCACTGCTTGCTCTTTGCCATACATGTCTCGAACAATGAACTCTGCATTCTCAGCTGTGAGGCCAGCAAACCGAAAGACATCCTTGCTGTCTCTCTTCGAGTAGTACTGCCCAGGTTTCAACCAGTTGTACTTCAGACCAGCAATACATGCAGCATCGTTTGCCTCCTGTGCCACATGTGAAAAAAGATACATACAAATACAACACAAAAAAGATACAACAATTATATACATGTTCATTATATATAGGGTTTGAGGTTTATACAAGTAATAAGGTTTAGGGTTTCAAGCTTAGGGTTTATGCTTTAGGGTTTCAGGTGGAGGGTTTGAGGATTCATGCTTGTAATGGTTTCTTTCGAAACTGTTCAGTCCTGCAAGGACAGCACTTTCTCAACTGTTTGCTTTCCTGTCGTTCCAGCTCCATTTGAGCTGTTGCTGTCTCCTGGAGTATTTTCCAGCATATACTGGGCATGGATGCTGCTCAAAGAGCCAAAGGTTCGGCTCTCCCGACCCTTTCCTTCTTTTTGGGTCAGGTACAAGGCACAGCGAATGAAGAATCTGCCCAGCACTTTCACAGTTTCAGATTTCAGCAAGTCATTCTTCTTCATGTGCTCTTCCACCAGCATCTTCCCCAATTTCTCACAAGCTTCAAGGTTTGCTTTTTGGGAGCTTTGCTGCAACTTCAGCAGATCTGTTTTAACCAGCAAACGAGCCACTCCATCTTGTTGTTTCGAAGAAGACAAATTTGCGGCTATCAGCATCGACCTGCAGACTGCAAATGTCGTATGGGTGGACCCAAAATGTGTCCCAACCACTGCAGTCATGAACTCCTCGCCCAGCATTAGGCTGGAGTTGAAGGCCCGTTCCAAATGCACCAGGAACTGCACTAATGGAAAATCTTCTCCACCAGCATAGTTATTCACGAAATCCCCAACAACCTTGAGGTACTTCAGGTTGCTCATGCTTCGGCAGGTCTGAATAGCTGTCTCCAAGCTCTTGGTCCTCTTGTAAGTGCCAGCAATGCTCATGGCCAGCTCCATCTCTGTTGCTTTGGCAGCAATGTGATTGCTTGCATTCAGGGCTCCCTGAAGGAACTGCAAACCATGGCATACTTTCCTCCACTGTGAAGGCGATGCAGTGCCAGCGCCAGCCTTGGGTAACAGCCTCTTTGAAACCAGCATCAGGAAATGTTTGCTGGAGAGTGTCCAGCGACAACACTTTGTTGATGCTTGCCAGGTTTTCATCCTGGGTGAGGCAGCCAGCACCAACAGCCTTGCAGAACTGGCTCATGTGACTGGCACTGAGGGACATGTACTGCTCAGTTCCTGCAACTGGTGCCAGCATACCCTGGCTAGCTTCGACCAGTGTCTGCATGGCCTGCAACTGCTTGTGTTTCACCGACCAATTGTGGCTGACCTCAAGGGCATAGCTTTCCTCAAGCTTTTTGGCTGACCAGCCAACTTTGAGTGCTTGCCAGCCTTTTTGGTGAACATTGAAAGGGTTGACCGTGGCACCCGACCTATTCTCAGGATGCACCAGCAGCTGGCTGGGCTTCAGGTTTTGAATCCTGATGTAGCCCAAGCTGCCCAGCATGTTCAACATCTTGCCAGCTTTCAAGTTGACAGCCAACACAGGGTCATCCCTGATGGCCTCCATGGCTGAAATGGATTTTGCATCC